ATTAAAAACAAAATTGGGGTGCCTGGATGGCTTATTCAATAAGCGTCTGCCTTTGGCTCAGGTCATGATCCCAGGGTCCTGGGATCGAACCCCACATTGGGCTCCCTGCTTAGTGGGAAGCCTGCTTCTCCTTCTCCCTCTCCCACTTCCCCTGCTTATGTTCCCTTTCTCACTGTGTCTTCTATCAAATAAATTTTTAAAGTCTTAAAAAAAAAGAGTTAAAAACAATATTTATGTGTATATGTTCTATTTCTATTTTAAAAGACTTCTGTTTTTATTTACACAAGCAACAACAAAATATAACTGAGTTTGAGAGAACATCATGTATTATCTTTGGCTCTCAGGTCACTTCTATCAGAGTCCTACTCGTTGGTTCCTAAATGTCATAGTCAGAGTACATTGTGCTTAGAATAAATGCTTAAGAAATAACTTTAAATTTGTCATATTGTGGCACTCACCAGAGATCTTTCCAACCCACCAAAGCACATTGTTTCTTCTTTCCTCTCTTTTCTCTTCCTCTCTCCCTCCCTTCCTCTCTTTCCTTGTCAGATTATTTTTAGATAATGTTCTTTCTAATGTTTTAGGCGAACTGATGGGGTTAGGTGAGGTGCAGCTTTTCTCATTTCCAGAGCTTGCCTTGCTCCTCCATCATGTGAAGGTTGCTTCGAGGATGGCACCCTGCTCCTGAGCTCAAAGGCTGTGGGGCTGTAATTGCTTCTTCTCCCTAATTTATTTAGGTTGCTGCACGCCTTGCCGTCACTGCAATCCCTCAGTACTGCAATCTGGGAACAATATAAATGGTTGATGGCAGAGAGAGATTTTCAATTATTGCTTCTCAGTGATTCACATAATGTGCTGTCATTAGCACTTCCATGTGACATATCATGGTTTCCAGGGCTTATTGGGCCATTTATAAATACCAGATGAAGGTGTTAGAGCTGGTATTGCTGTGTGGTTATTGCCTTAATTGCCTTCACCGGGAAAGGTGGCAGCATCTTCTCAGGAGGAAAATAAATTGTAATTTTTAGTTTGGCTTTAACCATTTGCAGTCAGTTCCTCTCAAGGGCAAGAATCACAGCTTTCCTTTTTCCTTTTTTTTTTCTTCTAGTTGTCTAGTAATTTCATTTTTGCAAAAAATACCCACTCTTCATACTCTAGTTACCACTACCTGAGTTGATTTCCAGATTATCTATACAAATATTCAAATGTATTTTTCCCCACAGTTAAGTTCACATTATTAATGATAATTATTACTGAGACTTACCACATTTTACACTTACAAAGTGACTTTATAAATAATAATGGCAGCTAATATTTATTGAGCATTTACTATGTGGTAAAAGACACACAGGCATTGGCTTGTTCAATCCTTTCCAACAACACTGTGAGCTAGACACTATTGCTGCCTCCATTTTATGAGGGGAATTTGATATTTACTGAGGTTTAGAAAGCCGGCGAACGGGAGATCTGGGTTTGAAATGCAGGTCAGTGTAATTCCAAAGCCAATAGTTTTAAGCTCTCCCTTTAAGCACTCCCCACCCTGAACCCCAGCATAGTCAGCCCCCCCCTTTCCCAAGCAGGAAATGAAGACTCCAGCAACAGGAGCCACTGCAGGGCTGCACACGGTGCCTGTGTCTTCCCACTTGAGCGGCAGAGCTCCTTCCCATCCCCTAGGCAGCCCCCATTGGGGTGAGCCCTTATAAGGGCTGAGGTGTGCCACTGATGTCACATGAGCACCACTCAGGTTGATAAATAAACAAAGGATGAGGACCGATAGTTAAAAATCAAAGGGACTTCGATTTAAAGCATTAGAGACAAAAGAGCTGCCTGCCTGGTCTGCTGGTGCAGGCACAAGCTCTGAGCTGGGTTTAGAGGCACAGAAGAGGAAAGAAGCAAGTCATGTCCACTGGGCACGCAGCCCAGGAGCTAGGGCCACTGACATGAGCCGGCCTGGGTCCTAGTGATTGATTGTGCAGCGTGGATGGCCTTCCCTCAGCAGCCACAGGGCCTCACAAAGAAAGGCTGCTCATGGAGAAGTCTTTGTCAGGGCCTCTAATGAGAGGATTGGGTTTCACACCACAGCTACCCCGAAACAGGTACGCTCTGCTTCTTCCATCTTCCTGATGGCTCCCACGGGAACGACAAGAAAAAGAAAGGAAGGTACACCAAGAAACAGGTCACAGGCTGGTTTGGCTAGGCTTTGTGCCTCCCCCGCCTCACCACCTCCAGATGAATAGCTTTGAATTCTTTAATTTTCACACACCCTGTGTGGCCACCGGACAGCAACGGGAAAAGCTTCCCTAAGAAATTTTTCATGATCCATCCACCGTGACTCTCTGGAAAATGAATGCCCCTGTCCCTTTGCGTGTGCTATTGCCTTTGCTCAGAAGATCCTCCCCAGACCCCAAGTTCTTCTTCCTATGGCTAACTTGTCCTTCTTCAAGATCCAGCTCAGGCACTGTCTCCTCCAAAAAGCCTTCCTCGATGTCCCATACCTGCCCTCCACCCAGGCTGGCTTCTGTTCCTCCTCTGTCTTGCTAAGGTACTTCTGCCTCAGTCCCTGCTGACTCCTCTGTCTCCCGTCAACACTGTAAGCTCCTTCAGGGCAGGGACCGTGTCCCCAGGGCGCAGCACAGTATCTAGCATACAGAATAAGTGTAAGAAGTGTTTCTGAATGAATGAATCATGAACGATAAATGAAGTAGGCTGGGATAATATTTGCTTAACTATTTAAAGCATTTGATTTTTTCAAAACAGTCTATTTTTCTTTTAAAAACAACCTTTATTTTTTTTCAGATAAAAAAGCAGTAATGCTGACTGCAGCAACTTTACATACAAAAAAAAAAAATTCACAAAGAAGAAAATTAAAACTGTAATTCCACTGCCCAAAGAAAACCACCTTTATCATTTAGATGTATGAAGAGATTCCAGTAATTTTCTCTGTGTATGAATATATATGAAATTGGAATCCTATTGTCCTCCCTAATTTTCTTAAGGATTGTAACAGTATCTTTTGGAGGCAGATAGAAAAGATGTTTTTATTGACATTTAAGATGAGAAAAAGGGTAGCAAAAATGCATATCTTGTATCAAAGACACATATTAATGGCAGAGTTAGGAATAGCAGCCCTGAATCTTGTCCTAGTCCCAGGCTCCTGCTGCTCCCCCATGAGGCCTCCTGCATAAGCGGTATTGTTCTTACAAGAAGAAATTGTGCATTAACCAAACATCAGTGGAACAAGGGTTTGTAACTGGACATTCTTCTTCAAGAAAGGGACAGATTTAAGCTGATCCTGCATCTGCATCGCAGCTGTGTGGTGCATAAGAGTGATGTCTAACATTTCTAAGCACTTGGGATCTCTTTCCTGGGACAGGCTAACCAGCAGAGTTAGGCAGGCACCATTAAGATTCAGTTTCCTTCCAGTAGCCACATGACATCTGAACAGTGATGGCTTGGCTGAGAGCACATTGCTGTGGGAACCACAGCCATTGTTTTGATCTCACCATAAACTATCGGGTAGTACACCAGTCCATGACCACTGACAATATTCCACAACAATGTACATAGTAAGTGCTCAATAAATGTGCATTCGGCTGAACTGAATGTTTATTACTATTCAGCAGTGACCGTTGGCAAAAACGAAGGTGACAGCAAATATAAATCTCGCCACCACGATACCCAGTATAGAAAATGCAGTCCAGTGTGAACTAGCCTTCTGTTTTATTCTAAATAGAGAACTAAACTGTGATCCCCCGAACAGAAACACATGCTAGACTGTGAGCTCTGCAGATGAGGGAACCACAGCTTATTTATCTGTGTGTCCCCAGAATACCTAGCACAGAGCCAGACACATTTGAAGTGTCAGTGTCTTTTGAATTGAATTATATCTGCTTGGCTGGCGTGGGAGTTAAAAAGATGTTGACTAGTAATTCACCATTCCTTTCCCTGGAAGCGCTGTAAATCAAACTTTTAAAAAAAGCAGCAAGCTAAATTCCAAAACTCTCTCTTAGGAGAAATGCCCACGGCTGGTGGGGTCTGGACTATGTCCACCAAATGTGCAGATCTCTTTTGCACAAACATCACTTACTCCCGAGGGAGCCCCTGACTGGCTGACTGGCTGTGGAGACTCACACATTCCCTCTTTCCCAGTGGCAGGAGGGTCAGGGGGAAGGGGTGGGAGTCGATGATGAAGCACTGCTGAACTAAATGTTCTCCTCTTCCCAGGAGAGGGAAAATCTCCAACAGTAGGAGTGTTGGCACTTTTCTAGAAGAACAACCATAAAGAACCTGGGATGTAGTTGGAAATGATCTTTTCTGAAGACAAGTTTCTTTTTTAAAGGGCCACCCTCATCTTCCCTCTTACCTTAGACTAAAAGGGTGCTATTGGAATGACTTTGCCAGGACTGCTAGAATCCCACAAGCTGGGATCAAAGTCGACTTGGCAGGTGAAGGGGTCCTATGGGATAAGCACTGGGGAGCCATTAGGCCATTATCCTCACTTTTTCTAAGTTTATTGAAGAGAAGTGACAAAAACAAAAACAAAACAGTGTTTGCTAATAAGATCCGTTCCTTAAATACTGAGTTTGAAGAAACTGAAATAGAAATTACTGATTTTTCTGGGAGACAATCAAAGCACAACTCACCAATCCCCTAAGCTCTTAACAAACTCTCTTGGAGATTTCATCACCATGTAAAATCCACAGGTTTTTATTGGCAACGTCTAGTTATGAACTGCACAACCCTCTGAGGTGGTGCCAGTACAACTCCCAGGTCTGCCTCCATTACCCATTCCAAGGGCCTGCTGGCAAAGTCTGTTTGGCCGGTGCCCTGGCCTAGCCTCCTACATTCTTTCTGGGGGAGACTTAGGACACACTCTCCCAGCTGTCAAGTGCTCTACTTATAAGGTGCAGAATTTATTAGTGCAAAGAAAGATAAAAAGAAAGCCTGCTACCTTATGTGCTTTTATGTTCAGCTTCTTTACTACAATTTGGTGTTTCCAGAAATACAGCTGCCCAGCTTACTGGAGCCTCTGTGCTGAATCAGTGGGACTTGTTTTAGCTTTTCATGGACCTGAGTGAGCTCTGCAGCCACCACCTATAACTGAGGTCTCTTGTGCCATGCTTTGAAAGGAAGTTACCCACAGCAACTCTCATTTGAGGAGAATAAAGCCATGAGGACTTGCATTTTTAACCTACACATGGCCAGCAAAGGCACACAGAGTTGACATGGAACCCAGGTTTGTCCATCTCTGGAAATCCAGCCTGTCTGGTCACCCAAAGACCATCTTTTTCTAGCCTAGGACTTTCTTCTCTCCCATTCCTAAACATGACTGTTTCCATCTCCAGAACCAACTGAGGCAAATATTGGCCTCAGAACACAGGACAGATACCAAAGAGTACCACAAGGAAAAGAAATGAAAATGAAATTTAGAACTGCAAAACTCTGAGAGTCCCCGTTCCCAATACTTGTAGGACCTTGGATAAGCCACTTAATATCTTCATAGAACCCTAGTTTCTCTTCAGCAAAGTGAGTATAAATAGTTTTTCTCACCAGCCTGTCTTCAAAGCAATTCTAACAAAGTGCAATTATCTTGCTTATATGTTTATTTCTTTTTCATTGCTCACTGTGCTTCTAGCTTATAAGCTCCAAGAGTTCAGGGATCTTGTCTTTTGGGTTCATCAAAGAGGACCATTGCTAGGAATAATGATCAGCATGTTGTATAAGATCAAGAGGAGCGAATGAGATTTGAGTGAGGGAGGGAATGAGGCAAGAAGGAAGGACAGAGAAAAGGGAGGACAGAATGGATGGAGCTTTACTGAGGTACCATATAAGAAAGTGGTCTGAAAATTATTAAGTATCACCCACATTATTAAAATAATGATAACTAATAGTTGATGCATGAATTATACCAGGGTGATATTTTAAAAATAAAAGCTAGATCATATTATTTCCCTGCTTAAAACCCTCCAGTGGCTTTTCATACTACATACAATAAAGTCAAACTCTTGTTAGCTTACAAAACCTTATGGGATCTGACCCCTTGCGGCCTCATGTCCAACCAGTCTCCCCCTTCTCTGCCAGGCCCCCATCACTCGGCATCCTTGCATCTCCTCAAACAGGAAAAGTCCATTCTTGCTTTGGAACTTTGTGTTAGCCCCTTCCCCTGCCTGAGAATTCCGCATGGCTAGTTCCTTCTTGTCACTGGGCTCGTGGCTTAAATGTCACCTTCTCAGAGAAGTCGTCCTATACACTCACTCCAAAGCAGCCCTCACTGACTCCTTTTTATAGTACTCTACTATCTGTTTATTCATTTTTTTATTACTAGTCTCCTCCTCAGTGCCCAATGGTCAGTAAACATTTATTTTTGTGTAGCACTATATTTGTTTAATGCTGACTCTTCATAGAGACTTTACTAATTATGGGCCCAGCACGCTTCCACTGCGCAACTCTGCTAGGCACAAGACTTTACTAATTATTATTTTGTTTTATCTCCACGGGATTATAAGCTCAGACCAACAAACAAAAAACCATACGGTTGCAACCTGAAAGTTCCCTCCCAACCGTATATTAGCCACCACAGCGCCCCCCCACCCCACTCCCCAACACACACACTTGAGGTAGCCGGGCCCTGTGACTAAAAGCAACTGTGCCAGTCAGTTCTAATATTTGTGACTTACCTGGAGTCACATATGACCAGTGATACAATAATTACTTCATCCTCTAATCTATAGTGATTCTTTTGAAACACGGAAATGGTACCATCGGGTGCCAAACTATTGTCTGTTCTGGGCTTGGAAGCCTCTTGTCTCAGGCAGGGGTGAAAATGAGGGAATGCAGGGCCAAAATAGGCAGAGGGAAGTAAACGGCAGGAACACTCACTGGCCTCAGTTGAGTTTGCTTACTGTGGATCCAAGGGCAGGAATAAATCTGTAGGAAGAGTACTGGACTAGGGCACAGGGAAGAAGGTTTTAGAGCGGGTTCAGTATCTTCCTCTCCCCTCTACTCAGACTATCAGTTCCTCTGTTATAGGAGGTGCAGCTGGATCTCCTCAAAGGGGAATCCCAGCTCTGACAGTCTATGAGCTAATGAGAGGAGTGTGACTTTTCTCTGTGAGCGTTATGTCTGTGAAAAAGTTAACCCGTGTAATATTTCTGACGAGCGCATCTTCTCGGGACTTAGTGGGATCTCTCTGATTGGCCAGTACCATCACCCAACAAACCAAGATCTCTGCTCTTGCCAGTCTTCTTCAGCCTTCCCTTTCCTTCTCTTTCCTAGGGAAGTTGGTGTCCTGGGCAAATCCCCTCATTGTCACATAGGGATCAGCACCTAACTGCAAGTGCACTCAGCCACTCCCTAAGAGACGGGTTCCTACTGCATCTGATCTCGGCCAAGACGCTCCCATCTGCTTTCAACATGTTGAGTCTGACGTTAACTAATGTCTCCTATTAGCATTAAAAGAAAACAATCTGGAAAAATTCACTCTCAAGCAGAGTTCAAACGGGCCACAAGTAGATGTGGAATCTCAACTGTACATGGTTTGTTAAAATAATAGTAATAAATACATACATGTATACATGTATATGCAAACATGCATTTGTATATATGATTGTGTATATATAGATATGTGTGTGTGAGTGAGTGTAGTAAAGCCATAAGTCTGTGAAATGGGTCAAGAGAACAAAGACATGAATGTTTCTGTCCAATTTATGAAATTACCTGGTTACAGAGAGAGGAGAAAAATTCTCCCAGTATGGAACAAGGCATGGTCAAAATACCTGAAAGACATGGAAGAGGAGTTGGGGATCTTTATCTCACACTTACTGGTAATGGGTTGAAATTCTGGTCCACCAGGTGATTATATCCATGGTCAAAAAATGAGTGTCGTATCACAACATCAATGCCCTGATTGGCCAGCATTCCTAAAGTGTTCAACCATCTAAAAAAGCATGAAAAAAATGCTACATCAATATATCTTAAAAATTGCATATAACAAGCTCTGTAGGGATTGGCTAACACACATACACGCATACACCAACCACCACCATGAAATTTACCTAGTACCTTAAAGGAGAAGATTATTGTAAGCACTGAGTACACAGCTGGAAGACATTTTAGGGATTATCAAATCTTCATTTTATAGGAAAAGAAGAAGAGGTTCAGGGGAATAAAATGAATTGCCCTTGGTCATAAAATATCATGTGGCTAATGACTTATTTTACTCCTGTAATACTAACAAAGAAAATGAATACCCTTGTAGCCACTTGTAAGCCTAATTATCATCCCTCACCCGCTGGCCATAGGACACACCATCACAGGAACATACACACTCTACTCTCCAGTACTCAAACTCACCTGCCTGCACCTTATCACTGTACAAGTACCTTTCATGTGACTCTACCTCACATACTCCTGTAACCTAGGCAAGAAGGGCCCAGCCATTAGCATCTCTCATATATCTCTGTCAGCAGTCAATACAATAATAATTTTCCTTGCTACAGTAATTAACCATGCAGAGCTTCAACTATACTACCATCACACACATAATGGAGGACCTACATTGCTCACATGTTATCACATATCCCACTATGCCAAAAACCACTGTCTGGAGTGTGCTATCCCTCAAAAATATTGCCCTCTTGGTTCTTCTAACACCCACCACTAACTCTGCCTTTATTATTTATGCATTCAATTCGTTCACTCATTTACTCATCCCTTAATTTTCTCTTTGTATTCCTACTTCTGAAACTTGGGGAAATTTCTAACTGTAATAATATATATATAATAAATGTGACTGAGAGCTTCAGTCTTATGGTATAAAAGATAAGGTGTTTCACAATCTTTCCTGAGCACACATGTGAGCCTTCATTTGTATCTCTTTCCCCCTCTTCTCTCACCCTAAACTCCATTCCCTGGTTCTTAGCCACATATAACTACTCTAGGCTGCCCAAACTCATCACGCTTTCACATACTGACCTGAATCTTCTCATATATTTTAACTTCTGCTTAGAATTCTCTTTATCTCCTCCTCTAACCGGTTCACCTCATCTGGCAAATTTCTTCCTATCTGTTCATCTCCAAGTCAAGTGTCATTTCCTTCCAAACTCTGCTGTCCCGGCAAACAGTAGTACCTTCCTCCTCTGTACCTTACAGAACTCTTATTTATACCTTCTGTCAGCCCACGATAATTACTTCCTTACATCTCTGTTGTCCCCCAGTTGCTTAGGTGCTCACTGAGAACAGATACGTTTTAGCTTTGTCCCCAAAATATCTATCTCAGTTCCTAGCACACTGTAGGTGCTTCATACTCTTTGTTAAGTTGAAATTGATGTGGATAAAATTAGATTCAAGGAACACTGAGAATCACCATTTAGCACACTAGGGACAAATTATGCATAACTATGATATCCCAAATTTGAAACCATATGGAACTCCAAATCAGTGACTTGTAGAGTTAAACTTTTTCTTTATTCGAATAAAGAACATTGCTAATTTTTATATTGTGAATGGACATTAACATTTTAAAAATCTTTTTCCCATTGACAATTTTATTTTTTTCTCATAAAAACTAACATTTACTGATAATTAGAATTATAAAAACAAAATAAAATAAAGCAAAATGCAAAAACAGAAGTTTTAAATCAAAAAGAAAATCTGACAATAATACAACAGAACTTTTGTCGTTGTTGTTGTTCCGACTAGGACACAAAATTACTTTTAGAATATCATGTACCTAAGCTACTTGTCTTTATTATTTTTATTAATTTACTAACCCTGTGATATCAGGATAACAGATTTAGTTATACTAAATATATGACTAATTAATTATATAACTAACTAATATATACTAATACTGAGACACAGTATTAAATATCCTGGGGTAGAACTACAACGTAAATTCTGGGTTAATGCACTAAATCAGTGCTCTCTCCAGCAATGCAGCACCAATACAACAGGGTCTATATCTAACAAGTACTAACTCATAGAAACAAGTATGTCTCATTCACCCTTCTATCCCTATGCTTGCTGAACAAAGAAACAAAATGATGAGTAAATATATAATCACATCGAGCAGCAGCTGGATATCCATACAGGATTATATTTTGGTATTTAAAATATCCCATTTGCTCAGTCACTCATTACTCATTCAACATGAATTAATCAGCTGTAAATGCCAGGCCTTGTTCTCAGCATTGAGGATAGACACAAAAATGTTTGTGTGACTATGTGAGTCATTTATAAAGCACTGGGTATGTAAATACCTGCACTCATTTATAGGAATGGTATCAAATTCCTACTTGTGACCTTGATAGACCTTGTAACAGTGATCTGCAAAGAATATATTCAACAAACAAATGCTAACTGGTAAATCTGGGGGGTGGTGTTTTTGCTAGTACAGTGAGGTTTTGAAAGAACTCTAATGTGAGAGGGAAGACTATGCAACCTCCCTTCCAAACCTACATCCTATATACACATCCAGGGTCTGAAGCATTCAAAATGACTATGACCAGAACCCCTGCTTCCCTGTGCTTTTCAGAATGGAATGGTTAGAGGAAATTATCATCCTCTACCTCTTGTGAATAATAAGCCCTCGGAGAGGGGAGATAAATGGTGTTCCAAGTCTCTCTTTCAGTGAAAAGTGGCAAGATGCCTTGTACATCCCACCAAGGATGCTACTGTAGCCAGCAGTTTCCATTCCACAAAAACGGATTGACTATTGACTGGGTGGCAGATACTACCGGTTGCTGGAGACACAGCAGTATGCCAAGGTTATGTCTGTAGTACATCAGAAAGTCTCAAAGCCCTGGCTAGAACCAAAAAGTTCTGATCCTTGAATAAATGTGCAAGTGTCCTTGTAAGCTCATCATTATGCCATATACTGAAAAACACCTGAAAGATGCCTTCTTCCCAAGGACTATTGCTAGCCTTTTGGGAGCTTCTTAGAATGCTTTGTTCCCCCCCACCCCCACCACCCAGGAAGCTATTTATGCTCCTGGGAGAACTAGACTCAAAGGACACTTTGCTGGGTGCTGCCAGCAGAGGGGAGAGCAAATGGGTGATAAAGAGATAAGACAGAAGACCAGGAGCCAAGTGAGTAGTTTTTAGCTGAACTGTGTCCACCACACATTGGATACCTGAACTACAACCTAATCCTGAACAACTATGTTAATCTGGGTTTGCAAAGTGACCTCAGTGAACTATGGATATTTGGCTGGTGCTCATGAAAAGGCAGGTCTCTCTCCAGCTCCCTCCATGAAGGGCTGTATTATTTCCCATTTCACATCATTCCCTGAAGGGAAAAATGTTCATGAAAACACTGAGGACAGCTGGGCTGCTTGCTGGTCCAGCAGCAGGTTCTGTCTATGATGGCTGAGCAAAAGCCATTCCTCTGCTGGTTCTAAGAGGTCCCTAAAATCCTAACTGCCACTGGCTTCTCACCAAGCTCCATGGCTCACAGTGAAACCTGGCAGGGAGTGTATTTTTGAAAGAAGACTCTCAGAACCAGTGTATCAAATGCTGATTCATCCATTTCATTCACTGGAACCACGCTCACCACACAACTGCTCGGTGCCCCTCAGTGCTAGGTACCGAGAACACAGGCATGGAAGACCCAGAGTATCATCAAATATTCTTTTAACCCATTATCTTCATCTGCATGTATCAGGATTCCATCTGCAAAGACAATCTGCCTGACTGCCCTGATTTGTTCTTTACAAATGTATTTAAGAAACTGCCTTAATGGAGGGAAACTACATGTGTTTAATTAGGAACAGCTGTTAGAAAAGAAACACAAAGCTGAGGACAGAGCTCAGCTCTGAGGTGGACCTTGCCAAAGACAAAAAACCAGGGCCATGGGACTAGAGTGGCACAGGACAGGTCACTTGGTGAATCCATGGTCCTGAAGGGTCTGTCCCTGCCACATGATGCTGGAAGGCCAGTCAGAGCCCCTTACGCTTCCAGTGTTAAGTTGTTGTCCAGATAATTGCAGAAGACTTCAAGTCCATTGTCCTAGAGTCTGCCTCTCCAAACCCTTGTGCATATTATTCCCAAAACCAACATAGGAACACAGGTCAGATGCTGTCTCTCTCTTCCTCCAAAGTCTTCAGTGGCTTGCCACTGAGTGTAGAACAAGGCCTTACTTCCTCTGCCTGGCATTCAACAGCCTTCCACAATTGGTGGAGAACCCCCCCACCCCTCGTTGCAGTCCTCGCTACATTCCTGTAGCTCCTGAGGCTTTCATCACATGACTCGTTTTCCACCTTCTGTGCCATTGCCCATAATGTTCCTTCTGCCTCGAATTCTCCCCTCCACCATCATCACCATTCTCCACACATAGAAATTAGAATAATCTTTCTATGTCCCCCTCAAATGCTACTTCCTCCATGAAATCCTTCCTGATCTTCCCTGTCAAGAGAAATTCCTGATTCCTTTGCCTGTCTACCACTTCTTTTTGTGGACAGACCATGTGAGGCAGAAAGAAAGATGGTCTAAGGTAGTGGCAAAGAGGCTATACTCTGAAGCAGACTCTCTGGGCTTAAGCCCAAGCTCTCATATCTTTCTATTGGGTGGTTGTAAAATAGTACTACCTGTCTCACTGGTTGTCAGTTATTAGAGAGAGCACTTCAGAAAGAATGTGACACATAGAGTTAAAATTATTATTAATACAGCACTGATCTCCTACACATTTTCTTATCTCTTCTCTGTTCCTCCAATCTTACTCTTACCTATTTCCTAAGAATATGGTGAAAATTAGAGGAGAAATTGTATGTTGTCTGCATTGTCTTTGAACTATAGACATTAAATAAATGTCTTATGCCTATATGGTCACTCCTACTACTATCACTACTATCTTTGCTCTGATGCCTGTACCTGACATCTTGGTGTCTAGAGAAGTGACTCATCAGTGTTTGTGGAATGGGTTACACCCATTCAGAAAGGAGCAGATAAAGAACTTTCAGTGGGAAACGAACCTCCCCCCTCCAGCGGACAGAACAGTGAGCAGTACCACTTCACACTGCCTTTCTCTCCTCAAAGTCCCTGGGAGTGAAACTGCACATGTTACTCACAAGAATCCCGCAGCATAGGAATCTGATAGGTTGTTTGTGCCTCCAGCTGAGGTGGTCACCACACCTTCAAGCCAAATCTTCTTTCCTGGGGTGTATGTATTAACCACCTGTTCACACAACAAAAGCAGAAGGGGATAGGAGATTTTAAAAAGTTGTTTGCAAGTGAGAAGGAGGACACATTCCCTTGAGGGAGTTCTGCCGATAGCCCGCTCCCAGGTGATCATGATCTGTGTTTTTTCCATGATGATTCACCCCATACGGTGAGCTGGCATGCGCATGTGCGCGCACACACCCAACACACACACCCAACACACACATAAGCATTAACACTGACATATGTCCACTCAAAGAAATGATCATTTTTCCCTAAGTAAACCCAAGTGAAAATATGACTGTTAAAACAACTGCATGTTCCAGGACGTAAGCTGACACCCTTCACTGGAGAGTATAAATCATGTGATGTTTCCATATTGACAAGTATCGAGAAGGAAATTTTCGTAATACTCTGTTATGGCAGATCCCAGGATGAGTCTACTGTCCATACCTCAGATATCATAAATCATGAGGGCAGAAGTCAGTGTTTGGGAAAAATATTTTATAATCACCAGGGCATGTATGTATATTACAACCACATTTTGAAAGTAACTGCAGTAAGTATTTAAAAAGATCACGGATCCACAGGTGAGAGATTCCACCTCGGCAGCTTTCCAAGCAGAGGCAAAGCCTCTTGTTAAGAGGTGAGCCTCTGAAGTTTTGAAATGGCCCAGTCTCTGGTCCCCAAGTTGGAGGCTGGCCAGACTATCCAGATTAAGGCCCAGATGCCCCAGACAGTAGTCTGGCAGTACTTAGGGATAATGTTGTACTCTGGGAAGCCCCTGGAAGCAGAGCCTGAGACAAAAGCTGATCTATAGATAGTCAATTTGGGAAATAATAACAGGGAGCAGGAATGAGGAACTGGAGGACTAAATAAGAGAAAAGGTAAAACCAGTACCAGGATGTGTTTTCAAGTTGGCAACCACCCATAAGGAACTTGGTAAGAGTCTTATGAACTATGTCTTGGAACTTTCTCCCAGGGGAATTCAAACAGAAGCATACTTATCCCTTGGCTCTTACAATCCAAAAGGTCAAGAGTAGTTTTGGGACTGTTAACCTCTGCTCCTCTCCATTACCCCACTAAACTATGTAGGCATGAGTGTTGCGCAGGTTCCCCGAGTTCTGCATCTCTGCCTTCGTGAAGTCCCAGAGCAGGAAATAAGAAGTGAGGTTGTACCGCATCCTATGGGTGCCAAGTTGGTGACAGCCTGTGCACCTGCCAAGCTCTGGTCCCTACAGCAATAGTTAGTACAGGACGTAGAAACTGAGAGGATGTCAGTTATGCACAAGGGGAGCTGGATAAAGACAATAGTGTATTTAGATCCTATGGCCCAACAATTTTTCTCTCAGGCATACAAACCAAAAGAATTCTTCCTCAGCTTTCTAAGGAGACAAGCATGAGGATGTTCACTATGTCATTGTTCGATACAGGTTTGCATTGCTAGAGGAATGGAAAAGTGAAAGGTGGTGGATACATACCATAAAACATTATGCAGCAGTTGGGAGCAATAGAATCAATCTAAATGCAGCAACATGAATTAGCTTTAAAGATTTAGTGGTGAGTTAAAAAAAATAGCAACAGAATGAGATTTATGTCACATTATTATTTAGGTAATTACTCATTCACCTTCACTAACACTAAATAGTTTCTAAAGATACATGTCTCTAAAGGACATGTACCAAACACCAAAGGAAAGCATGCTTAAGAGGAAGGCGAATGTGAGCAGAGATTAGAGATCACGGTGAAAATTAAAACAAAAACAAAAATTAAAACAAAAGGCTTTGCATGAACTGCTGAGACTCTGCTGTAGTTGAGAAGTGTGATTTTAATTTAATTCTCTGAACTTCAGACCCCCAAAAAGAAAAAAAAAAATAATTGGAGATGTAGCATAAATGCCAGAACTTTCCTTTTCCCAAACCTGGAGGCAGACATCAGCAAACAACCATGCTCGTCTTTTCATCTCTCCCTAAGTATAACTGCTTGTCCTCTCCCTGCATCTACTTGAGTATTTGCATTATCTGAGACCTATTTTAGAATCAGGGTTGGCAAAGTGCTCAACCCTTTCAGGAGAAAGTGGTGAAAATATTTCACAAATTTGAGATGGTAGTAAGGATTGTGATCAAGAATGGAAGAAAGAGCCTGAAAACTGAAAGTGGAAGTCAAATTAGAATGTTATTAAAAATTAAGTACAAATTCCCCGTCCCCAGAAAGAGAAGAGTCATTGAGGATACCACAAGTTTGTTCTCTCTCCCTTCTCACTGCTCACAGTGCCCAACCCAACAGGAACTGGAGATAGTATTAATAAGAAAATAAGGAAAACACCTTAAATGATCAAAAGACAAAGCCATATGGTGAAACTGGATTGAGCTGAGGGTTTCCCTCAAAATGTAGGGTTACAAAAACTCTCTGCTCGTGAGAAACTGTGTGATTCCTTTATAGCTACTAGTGTGGAGTGACACATTTGTGTTTTTCTTTTTTGCCTTTGGCTTCCAGGATATCCAGAGTTTAATTTTTGCTCAAAGACAGATATTAAAATAAGGCAGTTAGAGAAAAGGGGTTAAGCAAAACAAAAAGGTAAAATTATAGCATGATGAACCTTGAAGTCATTAAGCCAAGTGAAAGAAGCCAGACACAAAAGGCCCCATGTTGTATGATTCTGTTACATGAAATGTCCAGAATAGGCAAGTCTGTAGAGACAGAAACTAGATTAGTAGTTTCCTAGGGCCAGAGAAGGGGAGGGGAAATGAAGGCAGTGGGTAATGACTACAAATAGATATGGGGTTTCTTTGGAGGGTGATGAACATATTCTAAAATTAAGTAGAGGGTTTCATAATTCTGTGCATACCTTAAAAATTACGAGGCTGCACACTTTTAAAGGGTATGCACAATTTCATGGTATGTGAATTTTATCTCACTAAAATTTGACTGTGTGTGTGTGTGTGTGTGTGTGTGTGTGTGTGGTGTCATCAGCAAAAGGAGAGGTAGAGTCTAACAGGCAGATAACTACTGTGGAATCAGTAATGTACCCTGAAGTTCTGGGTTTTGCCACACACTAGTTGTGAGATATGGAGCTTGTTATTTTCTGAACTTTCTTTATTAACATGTGAAGCCATGCACTGGGAGTAGAGGAAACTTAAGTTCCTTCTAAATACAAAATGTTAAGCTGATCCCCTTACCTCCTATTCCTCAACAGTCAAGAGTCTCTTTGACTATGTAAGTTAAAATTTCATAAAAAACAAGAAACAGAAAAAAAGAGTCAAGATGAAGGTAAATAATGAGAGTGGTAGAAAAAGCCATTGGAGTAGATGAAATTACTTAAGGAGAATACCTAAAAATGAGACTAGATGGCTAAGGGTTTCCATCCCCAAACATTAGGGCATTATCAAATGCATTTATTCATTCACTCGACCAATACTTATTAGGTGCCTGCTGTATGCCAAACAGACTCTAGGGGCAGAAATACAGCAATGAGTGAAACAGAACAAAGCTCTGCTCTCTTTGGCTTACTATTAGTCCAGTGGAAAAGACTAACAATAAATAGTAAACAAAGAAATTTAGAAATAAAAAGAACTAGGAAGAAAATGAAACAGAATAATCTGAGAGAAAGTGACTCGGTAGGAGGGGCAGGACTGGATACTTTAGATAGTGCTCAGGTCACCCCCCGAAAGGTGGTATCTGAGCCTAGACCTGACTGAAGATGGAACCAACCCCTGATGGATCTGTAAGAGGAGCTCAGGAAAAGGACAAGATATGGAAACAGGACTGTTGTTTGTAGAACCAAGAGAAGACCGTCTGGAGTACAGTGAGTAAGGGAATGTGGAATATGTGGCATTTAAGAAACAAAACAAATGAGGAAAGGGGAACGAAAGAGAGAGAGACAAACTAAGAAACAGATTCTTAACTATAGAGAACAAACCAATGGTTACCAAAGAGGAGGTGAGGGGGGATTGGGGGAAATAGGGGATGGGATTAAAGACTACACTTATCATGATGAAAATAGAAAATAAAATAAAATAAAATAAAAGCAGTCTTCCTGCTGAGCAGGGAGCCCAACCCAGGGCTTGATTCCAGCACCCTGGGATTATGACGTGGGCCAAAGGCAAACACTTAACAACTGAGCCACCTAGGCGCCCAGTCTAGCTCTTTTAAATGAGGAATTGGTTCTGGGAAATGGTTGGATTTGTAAAATACCGTGTACATAAAATTCTGCAGGGACAGAGACACTGTATAAAGAGAAGTTCATCTGAATGATCTTCTGACTTGCAGGGGGATTCATAAGTAAACAATTTATAAACTGCTGTTATTGGTGAGGTAGCACTGAGGAGTGGTTTGGGGCATGGACTTGGCACTCAGATTGTCTATGTCTGAATCCTGATTCTATGGTTTACTCACTGTGTGACTTCTCTGAGCTTTACTTTCCTTAGTTATAAAATGAGAATAGTAATAATATCCATCTCTGTGCATGTTATGATATTTAAATGACCAAATTTTTATAAAGCACTTGGAAAGGTATCTGGCTTATTGGTAAGTTCTTAAAGTCAATCGAATGTTAACCTAGACCACTCGCCTTGTCTAAAGCACAAGAGTTGGGTTCAGGGAGCCTGGGTGGCTCAGTGGGTTAAAGCCTCTGCCTTTAGCTCAGGTCATGATCCCAGGGCTCTGGGGAGCTCTCTGCTCAGCAGGGAGCCTGCATCCCCCCCTCTCTCTCTCTGCCTGTCTCTCTCCTACTTGTGATCTCTGTCAAATAAATTTAAAAAAATAAAATAAATAAAAAGAGGTTCGGATCAATCTAACATTAGAGTTGGCTGCTTGTCTTTTGGATGTGTTTGTGTAGGTAGGTAATAACCCAGATGTGCTAACTAGCAGGAAAAGGTCTACTTAAAATTTAAAAGGCACATGGATAATTCACATTAACATAATTAGCATTCAGAGTAGTTCATTTACTGACACTCAGCACAGGAGTAATTCCCGTCCTTCGCTAGAGAAGCCATGTGAACAAAACACACAGTGAGG